CTAACCCAAACCCGCTACCCTATCTGATCAATTAAACCACCCAGCTACCCTTGTCTTTTTCAACACCACCAACCACTAGCTACCCTCACTACCTTTCTACTATCATTGTAAGCTACCCTCACACTCTCATCTCTGGCCCAGCTACCCTTACCTAACCCTATTACTTTGCTACCCTCCCCTCCTCTTCAACCTAGCTACCCACAAGAGTTCTTTGTCCAACCAACCACTGGTAAGCACCTTCCTACCCCCCTTTCTACTGTAGCCACCCACACTCACATGTTTTTTTAGATTATTCCCTACTTGTGAATCAGTCAGAAGCATCCGAAATGGCACGCACAAACCATCGGTATGGTTTCTATTTGATATTAGATTCCTGATTTCCCAGAAACTAATTTTTATTGTTTCTTTTTCTTTTTCTTTCTGATGGTTTTCTGCCTGCTCTTCTGTGGTTCTTGTAAAAATTCTACATTGATCTGTTTTCATGAATGTCGGAATGTGTGTGATTGTGGGGGCCCTGAAAAACGCTACCATGGACCGCTGCCGCATCAGTCATGAGAACAGTTCACGTAAGCTGGCAAACACTCGTAACAAGCAGAAGAAGAGGGCAGCATTCCATGCACGCTTGCAGGAACGGGTCATTGGCGTCGACATGTCTACCTTAAAATCTATCCGCTGGCAACGTTTGAGCTATCACCCCAAAACACGTCTCTATCCAATGGTCCCATTCAACAAAAAAACCGACAAACCTCTTTGCCATCCGACCCCTGGTGAAGTCTCCAAGGCATGTGAGCTTGTGGATTGCAAGTTCTTCCTGATGAATTTTGGTCGTGTGGTTCTTGTGGATCCGAATGATGAAGACTCAGTCATTGCGGTCATGGAGTTCACCCCTTGGGATCAGTTAACCAAAACCGATAAAGAAAACCTCAACTTCATATCGACTTTTCTTCATCAATCCAAGGAATTCGTCAATCCTGTTGGCTCTTCGACACGCTCTTGGGGTGGCAAGATGTGGGGGATTGGTTGGAGAAAGTCTCAAGACTTTATGCAAAAATTCGGAAGATATATCAAAGCTTTTCCTCCGAGTAAGATGGAAAAGTTTGATAAGCTTTTCCAACAATCAAAACATCTTGGCAAAATTCTTGGTGATTATTATAGAGGTTTGTCTTCCGGTGCATTTGAGCATAGCCATGCTCTTATGGAACATTTTAATCTACCAGCTTTTGATTCACTTTCCTTTGGTGAAAAGCCTAGTCCCAATTCCTGTTCACCTCATCTCACTTTCACTACAGATAATTTTTTTAATCCTCCCCATAAAGATCATAATGATATATCCAAGTGGGCTTTTGTTATGTTTATTCCCATCTACTCTGCTACTGGCAAATTAGCTGGTCCTGAATCTGGTTATGATATTAAAGGTGGTCCTTTTGTTTTCCCTTCTTTCCATACTGGTATTAGTTTTGACAAACAACACGGTATTGTTAAAATGGTTTGGCAAGCCAATAAATATAGAAATTGTACTCTTCCTTCCTTCTCCCCATCTGGTTCTAAAGAGTTTAGTCGTCTTGGTTTATCACTTCAGATTACTACTTCTATTGTTAATGCTGTTCGAAAAGAAGCCAAAGGTCATTATAAAGACCCTCTTCATTACTTTGGTGATCACTTCTATTATATGTTTCGTTGTCTAGCAAAAGGAACTTTATTAGCTGCTTTATTTTGTTTTCATTACTTCCTTTTTATCATTTCTCTCTTTTTTAAGTAGAAGCTTTGATTATGCAATTTTAGAAGTAAAAAAAACCAATAAAAGACACATTTCCCTGTCTTTGGAGTTGAAATATTTGTTTAACCTTGTTCATGAGGTTTATTCAATTAATAAAGGAATTCATCTCTTAGATTGATTACAGAGAAAATTACGGAGAAAAATTAACCAGTGAGGGGTATATACAAATGAGTATGTAGGAACAATTTGCAAATTGCAATAAAGATTGTCATTGCTTCATAGATTCACAATAGTTTTAGCATAATCTATGTTCAGAACTTCAAGAGTCCATTACAAGTGAGCCAAGTTATCTGGATAGAATATGATGAGAAATTGAGAAATTAACTCAGGATAACATATAAATGAATATGATAATGTAGGAACAATTAGCAAATTGTTCTAAAGATTGTCATTGCTTAACTTCAATTTCAAATATACACCAAAATTTTATTGTAATCTGTGTTCAGTCTCAGAACTTCAAGAATGCATTAGTGGTGTGCTCAGTTATAATTAATGGGAACATGATCCACAGGAATACCTACATCATTTTTTTATTGTTGTTGTAATTGATGATAATATAATTCAAAATAACCTCTGTTCATCAAGATTCACAGTTTATAATGATATTATGATTCACAGCAGTACCTACATCATGAACCAGTATTGTTGCAGTTAATGATAAAATACTTATCATTATAACCTCTGTTCATCAAGTATTTGAATGGAGATTCAAATACTTGAAGTTGAATCTTGATCTAACATGTGCTATGTGAAATTCATAATATTATTGAAACAGCAGTACCTACATTAATTCATGACCTTAGTATTGTTGTTGTTAATGATAATATACCTCTCCATGAATGAATACTGAATTCATTGAAATTTGAGGCTTCAGGGAGCATATGAATAATTCAACTATTTTTCACTAAACCTTTCATGACTGATGTGATGAAACAGTTTTGTATCATCTGCAGATTTACTGAATTATGAAACACTGCATGCACAATCTCAATTTAAATTCAAGAATATTGAGTAATTTGAGTATTTGATCCAATGTCTTATGGATGAATTTTTTACCATTCCCTCTTTATTTCATCATGTTGTTGGAGTTTGATGAAATAATATAGATTTTAGATTAAGGTTGAAAAAGCAGGGTGAGAGAGATGTGTGTATGCTGATATAATAATTATTAAACAATAGGATTGAGATTCTGAAAGGGGTACAGTCCAGATGTGGTATCATTTTGTTATTTTAGATTTTTTTGATTCACAATTTGCTTGTGAATGCTTGCACCGGCCTTTCCCAATATTTTTTGCTGTTTTTGTTTTTTTTTTCTATTAGGTAATTGGCCAGTTGTTCCTTTTGTTATTTTGGTTTTATTTTCTTTTATCATTTATGTTTGGATTTTTATATTTTGTCATTTTGTTCTTTTGTTATTGTTGCATTTTATGTTTTTTTCCACTGTTAGAACTTTTTAATTCTCTATTCTTATTGTTGCATTTTATGTTTTTTTCCACTGTTACACAGCGTTGGTTAATTCTCTATTCTTTGAGTTTTTGTTGATTGGCAGTTTGGTTGTTCTTGTGAGTGATGAGTCTCCACTGGGATAAAAAATTTTTGGGTGAGAAAAAAATATGTGAGGGCGGAGCAAGCCAGCTGGACCTGACACGTCACAGCCCACACTGATCCAACAATCAACTCACTTACCCAAACAACAAGCACCGTCACAGCCAACTCCAATCAGTCAATCAACCCGCTGACCCCAAGAACAACCACCGAGTGCAAAATCTAGGTCAACATGTCAAGCCAACCAACCCAATCTTCCATGTCAAACCAGTCTGGCAATGTAAGTGATGCCACGGAGGTGCAAACCCGTCGATCCTCAAGAGTCACTACCCCCATGAAGCGATCTGGAATGATTCAACCCTCACCTGATTCCCGTCAAACAATCACCCAGCCACTTCTGTCAGAAAGAACATCCATTGGAACCAGTAGTCAACCCAAAAAAAGGACCAATGCGCCCTCTGAATCAGATTCAACCCCTCACGCTACTCCTGTTCAGTCTCAGCAAACACGCAAGAAAGTTCCCAAAAAAACAGGCCCAGCTGCTGCAAATTCTGAATCAAACACTACTGCCAAGGACGTTGATCTTGCTCAAGACTCCGATGAAGAAAATTCTAAAGTCAAGAAACACCAACAAAAAAATCCAGAAGAGGATGACGTCAAAGTTTTTTTTTCAGAACCGTTTCGTTGTAAAGATGATGTAAGTCTAAACAATATCATATAATTCTGTCCATGAATCAAAATTGATTTTTTCTTTTCCTTTTTTTTATTTTTTTTGAGCCGGCCGATAAACCTGCGTCAACCTATAGCTGTTTGTGGTGCAAGAAAGAAGTCAGGGTTTCAGTGTCTAGTCTTTCGAATCTTCGTGTGCACCGTGATGGTTCTCGTCAAAGTGGAAGGGTCTCGGATGGATGTCCAAATCGTGCCAAAGCTATTGCCGCTGGAGCAAAACTTCCACCTACCTCCCTTGAAGAAGAAAAAAAAAAGAAGAAGAATGGAAATGGAGACCTAACGACTCATTTTGCCAGAGTGGAAAAGTTCGACAATACTATCTTAAACCAAATCATAGTTTTGTGGCTCTTACGTCAGTCGATACCTTGGAATCAAGTGGAAGATCCATACCTTAAAGCGGCGTTTAATTACTGTGAACCAGCTGCAATACTCTTCAAACAAAAATGGGCGGCAACCGGGGCCAGAAAGGCGTATTTGGAATTGCAAGAGGCAATGCTTTATCGCTTAAAAGTAAGTAGTCTATTCCTAATAATCATTCAGAAGGATTTACTTACATTTTTCATCTTATTTACCCTCAGGCAGCCAATAGCAAATTTTGTTTAATACATGACGTATGGACAACAAAAGGAAATCACTATGGATTCATTGGTGTATCAGTATCTTTTATCGATAACAATTGGAATTACGTGGTGCTTCATCTGAGCATCAAGTTGGTTTTCTGGTTACATCAAGGGAGATATTTAGCCAAACCAATTATAACATATTGAAGAAGCATCAACTCATCAATAAGATAAGTAATCTCAACTTGTGATCCATTTTCATAATCAAAGGGAAAAACTAATTTGTCTTCTTCTCATATATACATGCTTTGTCAGACCACCGATTCTGGATCAAATAACATGACCATGGCTGAAACAATGCACGAAAAACTGCTTGATCTGGGAGAAAACACCGATTTCGAATGGGACCCTAAGACAATGCACATTAAGTGTTTTTGTCATAAAATGGCTCTTGTTGTGAATGCTGGTTTGAAGGAATTGGGTCTCGAATCACCGCCACCACCAAAATTGAAGAAAGCATTCTTAGGTTCTTTCCCCTACTCCAATAAGATGCCAAAGATAACCGAGGAGGACGAAGATGGTAACAAAGTTGACGATGAAGATGATGATTCAAACGATGGTAGAAGTGATTGTACAGAGGATGAAAAGGAGAACTCAGATGACGACGACAATGACGATGATGAGGACGATGATGACAACAATGACAATGGCACTGAGGACAAAGGAGAAAACGGGAAAAAGGACGGGGAGAAGAATGGAAAAAAGGACGGGGAGAAGAATGGGAAAAAGGACGGGAAGAAGGATGGAAATAAATCTTCCTCAAAGGCCAATAGGAATGATTCTAATGACTTGAATGAGTTGACTATTGCCGGAAGTCTTTTTATCTCTTGTATTTCTTTACATACTGACCAATCAAATTACATTCATAGTTGGACTTTGTGGTAAAAAAAAATCACCGGCTCTTGTGTCTGGAGACAAGAATTTCGAGCAAAGAGCAGCTGGAAAAGATTTGAAGAACTTGATTGCTGGGTTATGGGAATCCGTTGGAATATAAAATACAAAAGTCGAACTCGTGCTTATGATGCCAGAGATGTATGTTATTTATTTTGTTTCTTGCAGATACATTTACTAATATTCTCAAATGTAGGTCATCGATTCAATAGTACTTGATGAGTATGAAAAATATCAAGATCAAAGAGCCAAATCTAGCCGCAAGGAAAAGCCCAAGAAGCTTGGTCTCTTCAAGGAGAGTCAGTTCACAAGGAAGGAATGGGCGACAATTAATGAATTGAATAAAGAGTTAGAAGCAAGTAATTTGTGTAATACTAATATATTCAGATCTTAGTTACAATGCTGAATTTTATATTTCAGCCTTTTAACCGGCTGACCAAAATTATGGAGGGTGATGGTCCTACAGGTGCTTTTGTCTTGCCGAACTATTATCATACAATCTTAACTTTGAAGAAGAAAGAGGACAAGTGCAGCCGAGGACACGCAATGCATCCAATGTATGTTAAAATGATCAAGAAACTCGAGATCTACCAAGACGAGGCGCTCGAGTGTGAAACTCTCATTATGGCTACCTTGCTCCACCCGTCATTCCGATTAGGGCTATTCACCCATTGCTGGCCTGAAAAAGCGGACGTGGCCAAGAAACTTCTGGAGAAAGAATTTGCGAAGCGTGTGGAGGTTCTGAAGAAGAAGAAGGAAGACGATATTCAAATAGTTGAAAAGAAAACTCCTCCGGTTGAAGAAGATGACATTTTTGAAATGTTCAGCAAGCCTGCAAAATCAACAGAAGAAAACAAAGAGCTCGAGTTATATATCAACAACATGGATTGCCTCCCAGCAATCTCTACGAAGTGTCCCGAAGAGCTTTTGTTATGGTGGAAGGTATGAATTTCTCTTTGTTTATCACCTGCATTAAGTTATTAATCCCATTATGATTTTCTTTTTTATTTTTATTTTTCAGGATCATGCATCCACCTATCCGGTTCTTGCATCATTAGCCAAGGACTACTTGGAATCTTCTGCATCCTCATGTGCAGTTGAGCGTACTTTTTCCTCAGCTGCTGATGTTTGTTCAACTGGACGTGGATCATTAAAACCACGAACAATTGAAAGGTGTGTTAGTAGTCATATGTGGTTGAAAGAAGGTATTCAAGTTTCTGGTGATTATGCAAAAGCACAAACAGTTGTTAGATCTTACATGGATTTTTCCGAAAAGAAACAGTAGAATATTTTCCATCTGTGTTTTTTTACGCCTTTTACTATCTCTTTTTATCACTAATGCTTGATCATGCTTAGCCAGAAAAAAAAATTCTTACAGTTAGTTTTTCTTTTTATCATTTACTCCTAACCATACCTAACCAAAAAAAAAAAAAAAACCAAAAAAAAAAAAATCTTGATTTTTAGTTGATGATTTGTCCTGCTCCAGAATAAATGCTTGGTTTTTTTCTTGCTTTTTTCCCAAGTAATTACCTGAAAATCATTTTTTGATGACCATTTCCCATCACATCTGAGCCCCTACACATTGTTATGACTCAGTTTTCAGTTACGCTAACAGTTAGTGTAACTTTTTGATCAGTTACGCTAACAGTTAGTGTAACTTTTTGATCAGTTACACTAACAGTTAGTGCAACTGAGGGGATCACTACGCTAACAGTTAGTGTAATGTAAGCCCTGCTCCTCATGACTTACACAAACATGTCACTAGATTACATAAGCTTAGTTCCGCCTTGTATTTAGTCTTACACTTCCCCTTCACCTAGACAGCAGAGATCTTTCTCTCCTGTCTAGGTGAGTACCCTGCCTTCTTTCTTTCTCTCCTCATTTCCTTTCCCCACTTTATGACTCTTGTAGATACTGATGAGAGATCTTTCTCTCCTGTCTAGACTGCAATTCAAACTCACTTTGGTACTAGAACCTCTCTTCAGGAGCTATTGAGCCCCTTGGTCTAGTGCTTTTCAGACAGCCAGTGAAGGACTCGACGGAGTCCTTACACTTTTTTTTTCTAGTTCCAAGAACAAGATTGGCAGAATTTTTTGAAATTCATTAACGTGCCTTATCTGACTTCCGTCGCCGACCTTTGGACATCTCTTTTCCGACAGCCACAATCTCCGTCCTAAATTTCTCTAAACCTCAATCCTCATTACCTTCCAATTAACAATATTTCCCAATCAGCACAACAAGACTTGATCTGAGCTTAACAATCATCGCCTCCAGTCCCGGACCAGCTCTTTCAGCGCACCCGGATTGAAAACCTTCTCATTCGACACCCAAGATGACACAACGACGGTCTAGGCGGCTGTTTTCCCAGACTGAGAACAGCTATGAGTCTCGCATCCAATACCTAGAGGAGGTTGTTCACATCCTAGTGGCTGGATCAAACTCGACTTGCTTTCCTCTTTTCTCTACAACTCCTCTTGCCAGCTCGTTCCGGTATTCAATCAAACGAGGCCTTGAGCCAGTTCTACCTGACAAGACGGCGATTTCTCTAGCTGCGGATTGGCGGATTGGACGACCAATAAGACAGAAATTTTTTAGTTCCCCGCCTCGTCGTCAAAATCGACTGATTACCACCTGCGATACATCCTTGCACCCAGCCAGGGTACCATCGCCGACACCCCCTACTTCTTTAACAAACCCCGCTTCACCAACGACCTTCGGCGTTGCCAATAGTGCTAACACCGCCAAGAGCTCACTCACCTCCGATCTGGCGAACAAGCCAACTGGCTTCTCCCCTCTTGATAGCCCATACTCTCCACTGGCCTCTGTGCGGTTATTAGATGAAAGACCGGCCGATACCACCTCGTTTTTGCCAGAAGAAGCACTGTCTCCTTCTCCGACACCACCATACTCGCCATCAACTTACCCATCAATCACCCAAACTCCATCTCCAGACTCAGCCAGGTCGTCGTCACCAGCACCACCACAATTGACACCGACGACGCCCTCTGACCCCCCGCCGCATTGCCAGAAGCGACCAATTGACATCCAGCGTGCGTCTGCACTCTCAATCAGCTCATCATCACCGGCGTTGCCGCCATTAAGATCGTCTACAACCCCTACAAACTCGGCGCTATCCTCTTCTAGACTCCCACTCCATGATTGTATGAAGTCAACCAAAGCGGAAGACACTTCTGTCACCTGTTCTCCGGCTTCAAAAATATCCAAGTCGGTTTCACCAGCGCCGCTACCATTGAGATCGACGACGCCCTCTACACCCTTGGCAACTCTGTACCCTTTAAATTCTAAGATCAATCTACACTCGGCTACTGATTCTTCCCCTCTCACATCGACATCCGACTCAATGGAGACCTTGGCTTTGCTCATGCCCTCTGAAGCCCATGCCTCACATGCTATCACCCTCACTCAGCGGTCTAATAGCGCGAACGTCGCTGAGCCTAACGATTTTTTAACCCTTGACAATACTCCTGCTACTCCTACCGCGATCATTGATGTGAATCCTGATCCGACTACTGATACAGCCACTACTTCTGCGGCATCAAGCCCCCATGACCATCAACTCACTTCCATTCCTGTTACTGATGGTACAATCGGCCCAACTTCTCTTTCCTCTTTGAAGTTGATCAACAACAACGACAATCAGGACAATTTCTTACCAACTACAAATCTAGCCCAATCCTTAACTGACACTATTGATGACACCACCACCCCCCTTCCTGTCACATCTCCTGTCAATCCCACTCTTCCTTTGCCTGACTGCTCAACCCCAATCTGTCCAACTGCCCCAGCCTGTCCTGCCAAACTTGAGATAGCTGGAATAGGATCCCTAACTGTTGAGAATGATGACAGCAATTCTACGGATGCCCAACTAGCCCCAGAATATTCACGCACAACTCTAGAATACTACAATGACATCGACAATTACCTCAAACTCTCTGGTGTAAATGAAACCAAAAAGAAGAAGAAGAAAAAGAAGAAGACCACTAATTCTGGATCCAACTCCTCCACTACCTCATCTGCCCAACCTAGTGACACCCTCAATACCCCTGAACACTTATTGCCATCACTACCTGTTGACGTACCAGCGGCTGCCTTAGGGGCCTTACGGTGATGGATGACGAAGCCTTGGCTGCCTTGAAAAGACAAGATGACCCCCGCTACCGCCCAATTGAAGATTCAGAGTTTGTACCGTTTGAAGACTGGTGATCTGAATCTCTCTTTCTCCATCCTCAGCAATATCAACAAACCAACTTCATCTTGTCTGTTCTGACAATTCTATTTCAACCAATCCCTCTGTCTACTCCTCATCCCCTATTTTATCTCTGTTCTAGCTTACCTCAAATTATCCAACGGTCTCACTCTTCTTCATCTTCCATTTCTTTCCTCTCTGCCGTACTTCTAAGTTTCCTCCTCAAATCGGGCGCCACTCTCAATTTCTACTCCACAATTCCAGGCCACTCTATTTTTTACTCTCCTGGTTACTGTTAAATTTTTCCCCTTCTTCATTTTCTTTTATAGGAGGGGAGACTGTAAGCCCTGCTCCTCATGACTTACACAAACATGTCACTAGATTACATAAGCTTAGTTCCGCCTTGGATTTAGTCTTACACTTCCCCTTCACCTAGACAGCAGAGATCTTTCTCTCCTGTCTAGGTGAGTACCCTGCCTTCTTTCTTTCTCTCCTCATTTCCTTTCCCCACTTTATGACTCTTGTAGATACTGATGAGAGATCTTTCTCTCCTGTCTAGACTGCAATTCAAACTCACTTTGGTACTAGAACCTCTCTTCAGGAGCTATTGAGCCCCTTGGTCTAGTGCTTTTCAGACAGCCAGTGAAGGACTCGACGGAGTCCTTACATGTAACTTATCAAAAAGTTACACTAACAGTTAGTGTAACTTATCAAAAAGTTACACTAACAGTTAGTGTAACTTTTTAGCCCACTAACCACGCTACAATTCCACTAACAAGGGATTTGGTTAGTGTTAGTTTGCATTTTTTTCAGTCAGCTAACGCTACGCTAAAGTTTTTTTTGAATTTTTTTAGAAATCCTGTAGTGTTAGTGGGCCAAAATTTTCGCTAACAGTAACTTTTTTGTAGCGTAGCTTAAAAAGCTAACACTACGCTACACTAACACTACGGTTAGCGTAACTGGCCCACTGTTGTGCCAATGCAATGCATCACTTTTTCAATGTGATGCCAATACATGGCCATTTATTGCATTGCATCACATTTTGTCATTGTTGCTTGTACCCCACCAATATTACAAGCTTGCACCATTTCTTTTTGACTCAAAAGAAACAAGAGAACCTGTAGCATACTGATTGCATGGTCATGAGGTTGTCTGCAAGATGAAGGCAACCCACTTGGATTGGCCAGATTGAGGGCTGTTTGCTTTATCCACTTTGTAGTATTAATAGTTCAAACACATTATTGTGATGTGAGGATCAGATATTTTTTGACTATCTTGCCATCCAGCTCCTTCCTGCACAGATCCAGGTCGTTGCACTCAAAGCGGCAAAATTCCAAAAGTCAGTCAAATCAATTTTTCCGGTCAGGTGGGGTGTGAGTTTTTCAGACGCATAATCTGCCAGAGCAAGTCTTTTGACCACGACAGGGCCCAGGACCCAGGCAACCCCATATATAGGTGGCTAACCAAAATGTAGGAATTTCTGGCCAAAAATTCAAAATGATACACACCAAAAATGTATGAATGGCCTTTTTATCCTCATAGGGTACTAACCTAGAGTGTATGAATGATGTACAATTATCAAAATTTTGCCAAATTTTCCTTCTCTTTTTGGGTTTTTTGCTTTTTCCTGTGTGAATTTGATGGATACAACTTGTTAAACACCTCAAAATGGCGAAAAAAAGCTAAATTTTGGCAGCAAAAGAGGCAAAAGGCAAGTTTGAGGTTGCTGGACAATCTGGAGGATTGGAATTTGTAGTGCTTTGCACCCCCCCCCCCCCCCTCAGCAGGGAGGTAGACACAAAACGTGTATGAATGGCTTTCAGAAATGTAGGAATTTTGGCAAAATCTTGGATTTTTCGTTAGGCACCTCTGTAGGGGGTTGCCTGGGTCCTCAGGGCCCCCAGTTCCTATCAAACATTGTCCGCAACCCTGAGATATTCCTCTCACAATGGTTGCCCAGGAATGTCGTGTGAGGGGAGTAAGCTTCCTCCTCCTTGTCACTTGAAGTTGATGAACATCTCCGAGAACAGTAAGCACTGCGGTCATTAAACCCTTTCTGCCAAGGTGCAGTTTGAAGGAACAAACAAGAAAAACAACTCCAGCTGAAATTCCAGAACCTGGTACACCAACACGCCCATACATGATCTTTTTAGCTTTCTGAATTTGATGAACAGGTTTAGGATTGCCAATCCCATTGTGTCTTCATGGCTTGACTTCCTGGCTTCTTTCAACCTAAACGAGCTGTCTGGATTCTAGCAGCTGACAAAATTATCATATCCAAATAGCCCATTGAGAGAGAGAACACGGTCGGTTTCATCCAATCTGAGCTCAGGTGCCACTGTCGTTCTCGCCATCTCTTACCGGCGTAATGATTCAGCACTCCAATGTGCAGTGAGAGAGCACCTTCTGACGGCTTCTGACGCGGTCAGATGGCTCATGATTGCCAATCCGTGCTGCCGAGTCAAGCAGCAAGCAGGCAAACCAAGTCAAGGTGTAGTTCTGGGCTATAAATAGAGGTAAACTTCCCTCCCAATGCCTCCAACCCACCGTCATTCTACTCCAGACTCGACAAAAATCACTTCCACACCAGTCCTTCTCCACACCACTCTCATCCACCAAATCCAAGTTCATCAGTATGCGAAACGTAATTGTTGCCGCCTTCCTCTTGGCTGCCGGTGCGTTTTCTGCTCCGTCCTCTCTCTGGTAGCCCTTTTTGAGAGTCTCTTTACTGACAGTCTGGCCGACTCTGTTCATTTACCGATGCAGCCGCCATGGCATCCCCAGTAGAGTAAGTTTTGAAGAATCTTCCAAACAGAAATAGTTCTGTGCAGACCACTGACAGGAGAACCTCTCAACAACAGGCTCCAAGCCCGAAAGCCATGTGGAAACAGCTGTGACCCATCCTACATCAACGGCGGCAACACCGGCGGCGGTTTCTTCTCCGACAATGACCACTCGAGTGACAGCAGATACCACGATTCAGCAAACCAATTCCAATCCACTCCTTTTGGTATATTCAGCAGCCAAAGGGAAAATGACGCAGCCGCCTCAACCCGAGATCACACCCAGATCATCTCTATCCCCGGCATCAACGATGGCCGCTTGTACTAAGCAGAGACAGTACCATGTCCGTCTCAGTCTAGCATCAGATGAGCTCCTTTGTCCGTGTCCCATAGCTTTGTTTTGGAAAAAAAAAAACCCTTGAGTTTGTTGGAGTGGCGACTATCCCATTGGATGCTCATAGCTCCTCTCTCTTCCACTCCTTTGCCGTCATACTTGTGTTGTGATATTCAGACCTTGACCATCGTTTTGTCCATTGTCATCTGGCTGTTCTCCATTAGTGTACTTCTGTGTCTTTGCGATCGGATCTATTGTTCTCCTTCCATCTATCCAGGCCATTTCAATTACAATAATTTAACTTCGATGGTTCAACTTCATTTTTAACCGTGTGTTTGTTGCACACCATTGCCGTCGTCCCTACCTGGTTTGAGAGATGAGAGATTGTCAGCTGTCTCCATTGAATTTGAGCATTTGTGCACTAGGTTCACTGTGAGCAAAGAAAACTGCACCCGTTTCTTGTCCTGATCACAGTGTTGAAGACATAAAAAAGTCATAGGACCACCATGAGGGGAACATATTCACAGCCGCCCAACTGGGTCCGGAGTGCCCTGGATTCATTCGTCTTATTTTTCTTCTCGTTTGTCTTCGTTTTTTTTTGTTGGTGCCAGCTGTTGGGATGGTAAATGGATTGAGGTTAGAAGAGATCATTGGTCTCCATGTGTGATTGATGATCACTTACCGGTGGTGAGTTTGTGGGTCCCACCTGAGTGGATGTTTTGTATAACCAAACGACAAATCTGAATCGTGAAAACAAGCACTCCTCGGCGTGCGCACTTCATGCTTGACTTGCAAGTCCTGAACTCCAGGGTTCGGTTCTCGTGACAACAACACATCAACTCACTTTTGAGTAACGCGCATCGGGCTGGAAAGACAAAGGGCCCTACAAAATCCTAGTAACAGCCACCAGCCAGACCCGTAGAAAAAATATATGAAGAAGCCCTGTCGTGACCTAATGGGCCCGTCCAAGACGAATGCCATTAAGGACATCATCGTCTTCTTCCGGCTTCCTAACTCTGCAAGATTTCATGGGATCGTGGACCCTAGTCCCTATCACCCATAGCGGGGGCCTTTTTTGCTCAGTGTTTTTTTGTGCTTTTTGCCAGTAGTACTTCAACTGCCTCCTTGGGAGGCACAATGGTAGGCAAAAATTCTCCTTCTCGCACCAAAGCAGCAAGCAGGCAGGACAGCCCTACAATACTTCACCCGGATCGACGTTCGAACAAATCCCCGCACCTCGTTCACTTTCCAAACTGCTTGCTCTGTTTGTAGTGTATCCCATTAGCACGTGGTAGAGTCTAATCAACATGTTAACCATCCATCAAATACCACTTCTTGCTCTCTTGCTATCTGCAACCACCTGGTCCTACCCGCGCGTTCATCTTGACCAGGTGAGCAACCCAATCCTTGGGAGCAACGACTCCCGTCCTATTACTGAAGACGGGATTACTAATGCTCTTGGAGTCAGTCGGTGCGACCGGTTGATGAATACAATTTCCTTGTATCATCTGGGACTGACTTTTTTTCTTGCTCACCCAGGATAATCAACAGAACATCTGCTACCCTGCTGCATCTGAAGGCTGTTAATAACAGGGTTGATAATGTGACTGGGTAACCCATGGCACTTTTAGTTTGCTGTCACAAAAAAAAACCCTGTGTAGTTATAGATGGCATTGCTATCGGTATTCGGGGTGATGAGAAGGCCGAACTGAGGGCTTGCCGCTTGATGGCATTGGTGCAAAGCTTCTGATGGCTTAGGAGGCTTGGCTTGACTAATAATTATTTGATCCAAACAATATGTTGTACATCTTTAACAACGTCACGCTTCTGGAAAGCCATGTGGAGTACAGTATGGAAACCAAGGTTTTTCCGGTGACTCTCCCTCCAGGCTATAAAAACTCCCCAGACAACAAGTCGAGCACTGGAGCCAGCGAAACTTGCCACTTTCTGAAGACCACCCACTAGAACCCAGCCTTGATCAATTCATAAATACTCCCGCCACCACTCAAGATGAACTTATCCAACTTCTTCAACTCTTTGTTAGTGGTTCTCCTTATTCAGGGCGAAGCTTTACATGTCCAATCCTTCGATTGCAAAAAGGAAATCAATTTTTCAGGCTTCGATCAGGCTTACTGTGCAACCTCTGCCAAGGGAAAACCGCCCAAAGGACATCCGCATGATCCTCCTTTCGGAGCTGATGGATATAACAGTAAGTCCTTGCCAGTGACAATCCCTATGACTAACTGAACGTCGGTACTTAATACTTGGTAACCTGTCGTACATAACAGTCGCAAAACCAATAGTGGGCAATGATGGGGATAACAGATGCCCATCAGGCCATCCAACGTGCTGCAGTTCGGTACGTTTGAGAATCGGAGTCAAGTCAAACGACCTCTATTCTGCCATAAGACACTAACCCTGTCTTAACAACCAACTTTACTTTGTTTACAGGATATCCAAGCCAACACCTTTGTCCCACTAGCTACTTACGCAAACAATTGTAATCCTCAGTTCTAGGCTTGAAGATATGTCGGCACATGTGATCCTTATCTCCAGAACCCAAAGAATTAGTATGTATTACAATCGTTGTTGAGTCGAAACTCCTTGATCTATCAAGCGTGATTGTGACGATCGCGGCTCGTTGAATTTCAAATCTGAATTCCTCGCAGTCATTTTTGAGGCTTTGCAACTGCAAGCCACTGAGTCGAGCTGCGATTGCTCGGCTAACCAAGCTATTAGTGAGGAATGTCCCCTTCGAGCGTATAGCACACATGATTGAGAGAGCTCTTGTGCCAAGGGTCCAACTCCTCATCCGTAATCAACCTCAGCATTGTTACAGCTCCTTGAAAGTGCTACGCCTCTTTTCTCATAAATAATTAGACCAGGATGACAATAGAAGCCATCGACCTGTTTGTGATCCTCAAGAGTTTCTTCTTTTCTGTGGATTGTACGAAAGTCAAGCTGGCTGCTCACTGATCGAGAGGAGGGGTGCGGTTGATGCCTCATAAGAGCATCAGATAGGTGTTTTTTTTGTCCTCTGGGTGCTCTCCAGACCCTGCCATTCATCAGCCCAGCTGATTGCCCTCTGGAAAGTCAGATACCTCGAGCGAACTTCATAATATGTTCAGTTGGCTTGCTCAACTAATCTGACTCTTGAAAAAACTATCATATACATAACCACCGTATCTCCTACATGCAAGAGTTTCCACTTTGCTAGTACAACCAAGAAACAAATGTGGTCATTTCTCTACGGCAAAAGTTGTCTCAACGATTGCGCCAGAGGTAGATTGGGGAGGCCAAGTCAGGACGTCTGACAGCCACGAAGATAACTCTGCATAATTGCGCGCTCGGAGAATGTTGGCGTTTGAAAATTTACTGCTGAGCATTCTAGGGGCGCTGTAGATTTCGAGTGCGCTCTCGCAGTCTTACGGAGTTTTCAGACAATTCTGTTGCCTGGTGGTACAAGCCAATGCTGAGCGGGATAGCAGCTTGGATGCTGAGCCGAATCCTGCCACCGGCTCAGCTGCTTGCCCGCTGCACCTTATACTGTGGGCTCGGCTGCTGCACGATGCGGAGCCCTGGTGCTGCCTGGTGAATATAAAAGACGCTCTCATGCCCACCGGTCACAGCCATTTCTCCTCATTCTCCCCATTCCCTCACTCCCCAGCACTCCCCACTCACAACCACCTGGCTCCTCTAGTCTACCGGGGTCCATTATCACCTCTGCACCTGAGATAACAGGTACCCTCTCTATGGCTACAAAGCTTTTAGAGCACGGTAAGATTCTCCTTCATCTATATAGGGATGCAGCAACCACCTCCTGCTCACCATTCTCCCTCCAAGCAACATCTCCGGCAAATCAACATCTTAAATTATTCCAGACAATGAGGTACAATCTTTATTTCTCAAAGTAGCCATCGTAAACTAACCTTTTCCCACACAGGCAGACCAAAACAAAACTCGAAGCGCTCACTCGAACTCACAGAACATGCATGCAAGAAGGTAAGTACACCAAATGGACTGATAAAAAATTAAGTTGGCTAACACTCAAAAGGGTTGATGGATTACAAGGTGAAAGAGATGTTGAGAAATGAGATATAAAGGATAGGTCTCTAATAATTAATCATTCAGCTGAAAAGGTTTACAAAAGAAGGGTGTGTTTTAACTCCCGCAATTGACCATCACTGCAGCGGAACTCATTATGGCAGACCTTGTTGGTGAATTTCAACGCCCATTCCCGGCTGCAGACGGCGTCGGCTTGCACTATCTCTCGTAAAGCTGCTTCTAACTTTTCTGCTAGGGTCTCACGGATTACCGGGTCGTCCTCAATCTCACTGAGCCACATTGGCCGTCTGCTCCCGTCGGTAGGACTGGGTCGGCTGGGTAAGATTTGCGTCCGTAGGTCTACACCACGGGTGCAAGAAAAGTTCTTGTGAACCAGATCTCCAACTTTTTTGAAAAAGTTGGTTGACCAAGTGGTTCGCTCAACTTTCTGGCCCGAGAAAA